TAAACAGCAACTGTTAAGAGACCAGACTGTTAGTGAGCAACTGTTAAGAGACCAGACTGTTAGTGAACAACTGTTAAGAGACCAGACTGTTAGTGAGCAACTGTTAAGAGACCAGACTGTTAGTGAGCAACTGTTAAGAGACCAGACTGTTAATGAGCAACTGTTAAGTGATCAAACTGCAGCTGTTAGTGAGCGACTGTTAGACGATCAGAAAATTATGATGAAAACAATGCACAACGAAACGGTTTCTTCAAATAAGCCATCGAATAATGCGTCCGACGAACAAGAATATTTTAATGACAACCTTAGAAGAAAAGCTAAGAACGACCATATTTTAGATGATGTTATGAAAGAGAATTTTGACAAAGGTATGTTTTGCATAAATGTAGTAGATGATCAATTTCCGGATTACAACTGTGGGCAAAATTTAAGCTATGGAATAAAATGTCGGTTCATAAAAATGTTTGAGGAAACGTATGTGCACGCCAAAAAGCCAAATGATCCAATCGTTAAATGTGAAATGAAAATATCCTTAGAAAACTATAAGCCTTTTAGTTGCTCACCAAGACGGCTTTCATACACGGAAAAAGACAAGCTCCAAAAAATGCTAGACGAATACCTAGAAGCCGAAATCATACGTCCAAGCGATTCAGAGTATGCCTCACCCATAGTATTAGTAAAAAAGAAAACGGGTGATTTGCGATTATGCATTGATTTTCGGAAACTGAACAAAGTACTTATAAAAGACAACTATCCGTTGCCATTGATTGATGATCTTTTAGACAAGCTCGTCAATAAAACAGTATTCTCGAAGCTCGATCTTAAAAACGGATACTTCCACGTGTTTGTTAACGAAGATTCTGTGAAATATACGTCCTTCGTGACCCCTTTGGGTCAATATGAGTTCTTGAGAATGCCAATGGGTATAAAAAATGCTTCTGCTGTATTTCAACGGTTCGTTAACAAAATCTTTGCAGATCTGATCAGAGAGAACAAGGTTATTGTATACATGGACGACATTATGGTTGCAAGCAGAGATATTGAGGACCATTTAGACACATTGAGGGAAGTCTTCGAAAGATTAGTTCAAAATAAGCTCGAGTTACGATTAGACAAATGCGAGTTTATGCAAACCAAGATAAAATATTTGGGATTTCTCATAACAAGTGAAGGCGTAAGAGCAGACGACAAGGGAATCGAAGCAATCAAAAACTTCCCAGTACCAGATAAAACACAGACGGTACAAAGTTTTTTAGGTTTGTGCTCATATTTTAGGCGATTCATCAAAGATTTTTCAACAATAGCTAAGCCATTGTACGACCTTTTGAAAAAAGAAAAACAATTCTCATTTAATGAAAAAGAATTGGAATGTTTCCTCACTCTCAAAGAAAAACTTATTCAAGCACCAGTGTTAGCAATTTATGATTACATAGACGAGATTAAATTACATTGCGATGCTAGTTCTCTTGGCTTTGGAGCCGTGCTAATGCAAAAGAAAGAGGATGGCAAGCCGCATCCAATATTTTATTTTTCTAAACGAACGACTGAAGTTGAGTCAAGGTACCACAGTTTCGAACTAGAAACGTTAGCAATCATTTATGCACTCCGAAGGTTTCGAATTTACTTACAAGGGAAACGTTTTAAAATAGTCACAGATTGCAACTCATTAACGCTTACTTTAAACAAAGTCGAACTGAATCCTAGAATTGCCAGGTGGGCGTTGGAATTACAAAACTATGATTACGAATTAGTCCACAGAGCTGGGAACAAAATGCAACATGTAGATGCTCTAAGTAGATGCATGAATATTTTAATAGTAGAAACAAATAGTTTTGAAGACAATCTAATCATTTGCCAGGCAAAAGATTTAAAGCTACAAAAGATAAAAAAGCTTTTAGAGAAAAATGAACACAAGATGTTTGAAATGAGAATCGGGATTATTTATAGGAAAACGAACGACGGCAGGTTACTGTTTTGCGTGCCAGAAGACATGGAAAACCAAGTATTACATAAGTATCACAATGAGTTGGGGCACATAGGCAGAGACAAGATGTTGGACACGATTTCAAAGAGTTATTGGATAGCGAATGCCAATAAATACATTGAAAACTGTCTTAAATGTGTTGCGTTTTCACCAAAAAATTGCAAAGCGGAAGGATTCTTACATAGCATACCCAAAGGAGATAAACCATTTGAGTCACTACATGTAGATCATTATGGGCCAGTAGCTACAGGAAGAGCGAATAAACACATATTTGTAATAGTCGACGGGTTCACCAAGTTTGTCAGGCTGTACACAACCAGAACCACAAATACAAAAGAAGCCATAAAAGCACTAAGAGACTATTTTAGGGCATACAGTAGGCCAAAATGCATAGTTTCAGACAGAGGCAGTTGTTTCACATCCAGAGAATTCGAGCAATTTTTGTCAGATTCCAACATAAAACACATGAAAATAGCCACAGGCTCCCCACAAGCAAACGGACAAGTTGAGCGTATAAACAGGAGTTTAGGTCCAATGATCGCCAAGCTTACAGAGCCAGAAAAAGGAATCCATTGGGATTCGGTTATCGAACATGTAGAACATTCTTTGAACAATACTTTACACCGCAGCATTAAACAGATACCAAGCAAGGTACTTTTTGGAGTAGAGCAAAAGGGCGAAGTTATAGATGAACTAAGGGAAAAACTGGAAGAAGTCAATGAAGCACCCAGGACGAAAGAAAGTTTAAAGGAAATTAGAAAAGCGGCCAAGGAAAACCAATTACAAGCACAATCTTATAATGAATCATATTATAACAAAAGGAAGAGAAAGGCAACAGCTTATAAGAAAGGACACTACGTAATGGTAAAAAACTTTGATAGTACGGTAGGAGCTGCCAAAAAACTAATTCCTAAAAATAAAGGACCATATGTAATAGAAAAGGTATTGCGAAATGACAGGTTTCTGTTAGAGGACGTCGAGGGTTTCCAAGTTTCTCGGAATCCTTACAAGGGTGTATGGAGTGCTCAGAACATAAGACCATGGGTAGGAAATAAGAAATAAACTAAGAAAAATTGTAATATTATTTTAGCTTTAAGAATCATTAATGGATAAATTAATCATATTCAAACAAAAAGTAACTGAGATCAGGGGATCTTGATCGCAGGATGGCCGAGTTGTAGTAGGACAAATACATGCATGTACATACACAAACAGATAGACACATTCTCAAGGCCATTTAGTCAACAATCTCCCGTTTGTTTTAAGCGCTCACATTCCTCATGCACTCTAATTCTTGTAAGAAGAGCTCGACAAGTCGAATCACGCCTCGTCTCGCTTACACACACATACATTTATTGTCAACTCTCCTTTAGTCTGTAAGCATGAAACGAACGCGAAGTCAGTCGCGATCGAACAGTCGAATAAAGAAGACGTATCAAGATAAATCGTGTGTTTTACTTCGAAAGCGGCATTTGTCTTCTACAGAATGCGACGCAAAATTTCTAGCCGGGCCTTTCCCAATCCACACGACATGCCTACCGACGGCTGTTCGTTCCGACGAGCGAATGCCGAAATCGCGGCTTACTGATGCTGACACGAGCAACGAAGTTACGCGAGCCTGCCTGCCTTCAGCCAAGCTGGTCGATTGTACTTTGCGTCGCTGTGTTTCATTGAGCGAAAAAGTTTAAACTTACGATCGACGTATAGTACTGTTGCTTCATCTATGAAATGTATGCTTTATTTGAATGATACATTATTGAGATACAAATGATAAATTTTACAGGAAAATTTATAAATAAAAAAAAGCGCACCTTGTGCAATAACAATGTTCACAAAATGGCACACATACATTGATTTTATTTTTGTTTTTGGACAGTGTATGCTGGAGAGAAATTCTTGTCTCAGCCAATGGCGTGCGAACACTTATGTATGTATGAATTATGCATGCATAACTACATCAAAATATGTATAAATGTGTTGTTATTCACTGCTCTGGCATTGGCTGGTAAAATTAATAAATTAAGAAATAAAAGAGTGCTTAATAATAATTTAATGGCCTCTTCACGGTGTTCCCTGGGTACCGATTTTGCATCGGTAGCTAATTCGAGCGGCGTCTTTGTACATTATAACTCAAATAAAAAAAAACTTAATCAAAAAAAAAAATAACACAATTAAAATTTATATCTTTAAAAACAACAAATTTGCACACTTTTATTTCATAATTTATTTTTTATTATTTAAAAATAATAATAATTAAGTAATTAAATTAATTTAAAGAAATTATATAAATATTTCCACCGACTTAAAAATACAGATTTCCTACGGAGCCAACCTCAGTACAGAACATGCATTCATATGTGAATACAAATTATGAATAGGTCATGATCAGCGCTAGAAAACTAAAAAAAATTTATTTCTTTGCCAGCGAAAGCCAGAGCAGTGAATAACAACCCATTCAAATATGATATTATGTATTCACACACATACAAACATAATTGTTTGCACGGCCTTCCTAGAGCCGAAGCTAAGAGTATATTCTATTTTGAGCTTTTCGCTCTTTCGGCAGTGAGAGCACAATGATACTGATTTCGTTTTCGTTCTCAATTTTCAAAAAATCAAGCTGCATAGTAGCATTTTGTTTTATGGCGTTACTCATCTTACTGTTTATATTGTCTTTGGTCATACATTAGGCTTAATTGTCCTTAAGCCCCGCCATAGCGTGCACCTTTATCACGTAAGGTAATTACAGTAAATATTTAATTTTTCTAGCTCCTTTCGTTGGGCTGTGCGTTGGTCACCAGTCAGTCAATACACTCATAATGTTTCATATCGGTAGGTGACTTAAACGGCTACAGATCCTATTAATTCTAGGGATAGTAAGATGATCTGTCCATGCTGCATAGATTCAGTTCAATTTACATAAAAATCAATCAAAAGTCGAAAAAGTTCTCATATATCAGATAATTTAAGCGATAGTCCGTGTAAACGCAAAAATGTATAAAGCGATTCGTAGAAATGCCGAACTAGTTCAATGAACCACTACTGATATCAGCCTACCGACGAAAATAATGAAATTTTCACGTCATCCACGCTGTCTGACATAGAATATGTGAGTACTGTATTTGAAAGACACAAGTATTAATCTCATTTTCTTCATTGTTATACCTGTACGAATATATTTTCTGTTGTGTACCTTCAGTTTTTAAAGTAAATTGCTTTGTTGTTTTTATTGGCAAACTCAGAACGCCGCGAAATCAGTTTACTTTTTAAATTATACCTACAACAGCAGTGCATAAATATGTAACTTAATTGTACGTCTTGGATCATAGTAGTTAATTAAACTAGAAGGCTTTCGTATGCAATCTAAACTGGATAGTGGCTAGATATATGCAAACATATGTGGTATATGTAAGCACTCACACATGCATACATACGTATGTATATCCATATGTACATTCAATTTTTAAGTAATTGCAATTGTTCAATGTAAACGGTTTAACTGCGTAAAAAGATCTTTAATTTAAATAATGCTTGTGCCTGTATGTACATATTTAGTTCTGTAAAAAATAATTATTACAATTATTATTTTTCTATATTATATAAATTAGTGCAACATTCAAAGTGCTTGCCGTCCACCGTCAATTGGCTTTTCCTTGCTTATTACGTCGATTGCCTACGACAATTTTGTTTGAAAATTTCACAAATATTCCCCCAAGACTGAAACTTTCAATTGCAACTACAAGTAGGTCCCAAAAGGGGCCGCAGTATTTTCAGCCAAGGCACCCTCTTCTGCTTGGGTATGTTATTGTCAAATGTTAAAATTAAACTAAAGCTATGTACAATGAAAAATTATGTATTTTAGATGCTATAATTAATTTTAATCGAATTTATTTTCCAGTCAGTTTTATAACATTAACCTTGCTGCGTGGACCCATCCAAGCACAACAGAGTCATCTGAAGAACTCACAACTAAATCAATTTCAGAAGAGAAGCATAAAGTAGAAAGTAAAGCGGCGGAGATGACCCTACCAAGTGCCGCTCGCGTTTACACAGACGTGAACGCCCACAAGCCAGATGAATATTGGGACTACGAGAATTATGTTGTCGACTGGGGAAACCAAGACGATTATCAATTAGTGCGCAAGTTGGGGCGAGGCAAGTACTCTGAAGTGTTCGAGGCTATCAACATAACAACAACTGAGAAATGTGTTGTGAAAATATTGAAGCCTGTTAAAAAAAAGAAGATAAAGCGCGAAATTAAGATATTAGAAAACTTGCGTGGGGGAACCAACATTATCACGCTTCTAGCCGTTGTCAAAGATCCAGTGTCCCGCACCCCAGCACTGATTTTTGAGCATGTGAATAATACCGATTTTAAACAACTGTACCAAACATTAACGGACTATGAGATTCGCTATTATTTGTTCGAGCTACTTAAAGCACTCGATTATTGCCACAGTATGGGCATAATGCATCGCGATGTGAAGCCACACAACGTAATGATAGATCATGAAAATCGAAAGCTGCGACTTATTGATTGGGGTCTTGCTGAATTTTATCACCCGGGTCAAGAGTACAATGTAAGAGTGGCTTCCCGCTACTTTAAAGGTCCCGAACTACTTGTCGATTATCAAATGTACGATTATTCACTGGACATGTGGTCGTTGGGATGCATGCTTGCATCTATGATTTTTCGCAAGGAGCCATTCTTCCATGGTCACGATAATTACGATCAACTTGTGCGAATTGCTAAGGTGCTGGGCACTGAAGAACTATACGCGTATCTGGATAAATACAACATCGATCTGGATCCGCGATTTCACGATATTTTACAACGTCATTCCCGTAAGCGTTGGGAACGATTTGTTCATTCTGATAACCAACATCTGGTTTCGCCAGAAGCATTAGACTTTCTTGATAAACTATTGCGTTATGATCACGTTGACCGTCTTACAGCTCGTGAGGCAATGGCGCATCCATATTTTTTGCCTATTGTTAACGGTCAGGTAAATCCCAACAGCCAGCAATAGACATGGATTTACAATGTAGAGTATATAAACTTGTATCGCAACAGCACGGTAGAAGTTACAAAGACCTCTTAGAGCACTTTGAAAGGAGAAAGCATTAAGTGCTAATGCTGAAAAGATTAATTAAGAACAAATTCAATAAAATGCATCGGCTCACAATTCAGAACCATAACACCTTTTTCATATATAGAACAATAGTAACGTTATAATGAAGGGGAAGATTATTCAAATTATAGTTTTACAAAATATAAACAGAGTGATTCTAAAAGTACTAATTTTCATATACGAATAAAATATTTCTGTTTACAAATTCACACATGCACATGCTAAAAATTAACATCAAGCATCATTATAAGTAACAAATATTTATAAAAATATTTAAAAATATAATCCAATAAATCTCCATTTCATACAAAACCGTTGAAGCTAATGAAATTAGACGTTAAAAAGTCATCATAAAGCTATCTTGCAAAAAACATTTTTTGTTAAACTTAACTTTTGCAATGTAAGTGCATTTTGTAAGGGGAAAAAATATCCGTTCACAACTGTAGAGTACACATAAAAACGAATAACAAGAGTGCTCTAATCGGGAGTGCGCAACTAAGGATTACCCTGAAGTTTCTTCTATCAACACCAAATGCAGCTCGAGCTCGTTTACTTTAGCATACCAAAAATAAAAGATTTAAAAAAAATGCAGTCCACTGTACCAGAGCCGAACTTGCGACTCTTCTCAACCGAACGAATTATTTTCCACCGCCTTATTACAGTGTTATACCAAGAATTTGTTTCTTGCGAAATAAAATCTATGCTATACGATAGCTATGAAATGAAAGATACTTGATCTACATATACTATTATAGAAGTTACTTGCCAAATTTGGTGACGCTAGCTCTTAAGACCTTAGAGATTTGCTTAAAAGCGGTATTTCAACATTAATTTGTATCAATTCTTTAGAAACAGGGAATGTTATCGATTATCAGAAACAAACTCTTACTGCGCGGGCACTAGGAGGACCCTTCAAAGTTTCTCTGAGATCCTTGTTTTCATACTACCGGACAGACAGACGGACATGGGTAGATTGACTTGGCTATTGATGTTGATCAAGAATACATATACTTTATGGGGTTGAAGATGCTTCCTTCTACCTGTTACATACATTAACACAAAAATATTTTTACCCATTTTTAATGGATATAATAAGTAGAAGGCTCTAGTCAAAAACTCCCGAGTAGGGGTACCCAGAACCAAAGACAAAATTAGTGTTTACTAACGCCATACAACAAAATGCTACTATGCAGCTTGCTTTGTTGAAAGAACGAAAACAAAATCAGTATCATTGCGCGCTCACAGCCGAAAGAGCGAAAAGCTAAAAATATAATTCTCAGCTTCGGGTCTATGAAGGCTGTGGAAGCAAATATGTTTGTATGTGTGTGAATATATGTATATACATAGCAGCATATTTGAATGTGTTGTTATTCTCAGCTCTGGCTTTAGCTGACAAAGAAATAACTTTTCTTAGTTTTCTAGTGCTGATCATGCATGACCTATCCCAAATTTGTATTCACATATGAATGCATGTTCTGTACTGAGGTTGGCTCTGTAGAAAATCTGTTTTTTAAAGTCTATGCAAATATTTATATTTCTTTAAATTAAATGATAATTTTTTTATTTTATTACAAAATAAAAGAGTGCCAAAAAATACAAAAAGGGTAAAATAAATACGTCAACAGCTAGTTCGACCGGCAGAGTAAAAAATAATTGAAACAAAAAAAATTGATAAAATGAATCTTTAGAAACAAAAAATTTGCACTCTTATTTTAACTTGCACTTAACTTTGCACTTATTTTAAAGTTAATTTAAAGAACTTATATAAATATTTGCATCGACTTTAAAAGCCTCAGTACACAACATCCATTCATATGTGAATACAAATTTGGGATTGGTCATGCATGATCAACGCTAGAAATCTAACCAAAATTAATTTCTTTGCCAGCCAAAGCCAGAGCAGTGAATAACAACACATTTGTATGTATATACATACATATTTTAATGTAGCTATGCATGCACAATTCACACATACAAACATAGGTGCTTGCACGCCATTGGCTGAGACAAGAACTTCTCTCGAGCATACACTATCCAAAAACAAAAGTGAAATCAATCTATGTATGTGTGCTATTTTCCTAACTTTGTTATTGTACAAGATGCGCTTTGTGAAAAAATTATTTTATCCTTAAATTTTCCTGTAACATTTATCGTTAGTATCTAGGGTAATGTATCATTTAAATAAAGCATGCATTTCATGGATAAAGCAGAAGTACTTTGCGTCGATCGTAAGTTTAAAACTTTTCGCTCAATGTACAAAGAAAACGAAGCGACGCAAAGCACCATCGACCAGCTTTGCTGAAGGTAAGCTAGCGACTAACTTCGTTGATCATGTCAGCGCATCAGCAAGCCGCGACTTCGGCATTTGTTCGTCTGAACGGCAAGGATGTCGTGCGAAGCCTCAAAGACCAGATGAAACGTTAGGCTAGAAATTTTGCGTCGCATGATAATGTATGGGCGTTACTCATCTTAGAGTTTATATTGTCTTTGCCTGAACCCTCTTCTATCAACACCAAATGCAGCTCGCGATACGTTCTCGTTTGCTTAAGCAATAATAAACAAAAATATAGTTCCCTCGATAGGATTCGAATTCGTAGCTGACCACATTATCTTTTACTCTACACAACAGCCAAACAAACAACTAATCGATGCTGAAAAAAAACAAATAAAATAGCGGCACATACCCACAGTACAGAAAACAATACAATCGCATTTGTTGATAAAATTCCAAAAAGACGCGCATGAATTATTGCGCCTTGCGCTAGCCGCCGCGTGTCAGCGGCTCGCAATAGATATATATATCTATTGGGAGCCGCTGACACGTATATATATATACATATATATATATATATATATATAACCACACGTTCTCTTTAATAACTTCTGTGTTTCTTAACAGATCTTAATGAAATTTTCAACAGTAGATCTTATTGTTCTATAGAATATTGCATTACAATTTTGGCATAAATTGGTGGGTAGTTCCAAGTGGATTATTTAACTTGATTTGTAGCTATGTGGTGGTAGCGGGGAGGTGGCGTAAGTTATAAAATTAAAGATACTTGATAAATATATACTATTCTAGAAGCTACATGTCAACTTGGTGACTCAAGCTCTTAAAAACCTGAGATTTTATCAAAAATAGGATTTCGATATCGATTCTTATCGATTATTTGGAAACGGGATAAGTTATCGACCATCGGAAACAAACTCGTACCACTAACCAAACAACATATAGATGAGACATCCACCACAATTAATGTGGACATTCATCTGGTCCAAACTCATCTTCCTGTTTGTTCGGGTACGAGACGTTCTCACTTGCTCAGCGAGCAAGAGAGTAAGAAATACATATGATTTGTGCGAAAGAAAGGCAACGCTGTTTTTTATCTCGCTCCCATTACAGGAAACTGCTTTGGCTTACTCTCAGTGCTTTCTCATTATGTCTAGGGATCGCTTAAATGTATTTGTGTATGTGTCCGCACAAGCAACAATACGCACAAATGCATTTTTTTTCTCAAATGTCGGAGGCATTTCTTCCCTTTTTAAGGGACGAGTAATATGAATTAATGAAAGGGTTTGTCACGTCGATGTGAAACTCTTGCATTTTACCTCGGTATTGTTGGTAATGGTACCTAAGCAAATGTACTTCTTAATCTCTTGCTCGTTGAGCAAGTAAGCGGGTCTCGTACCCGAACAAAAACGAAGGTGAGTTTGGACCAAATTTTAGCAATTTTAAATGGGCACATTAATTGTACTGGATGTCGCATCTATGTATATGTTGTTTGCTTAGTGCTCGCACTGCGCGGGCATTAAAGGAGTAAGGACCTACATTCTACAGTAGGACGACCTACATTTCAAATTTCAATCTCTAGCTCTTATAGCTTCTGAGATTCTTGCGTTCATACCTCAGGGAAATAATTATATGTGCATATTTTTCTTCTCTCATTTCAATTATATAACTTCAACTTTTTTTTTAAGTTTACCAAGTTTTGTGTTATGTGTTATATTTGTTTTCTGTGTGATAGTCCTCTTTACTGTTATCATTAAATTGTGTGATGCGTCTTAATTTTCTTAGGAAATAAGTATATGTACAATATAAGTACATGTGAGTTTTGTGTGGAAATTCGGGTTAACAAGAGGAATATAGGGACGTGCATATATATATATAAACATATATATATATATATACTAGCGGGTATAACCCGGCCTTGCCCGTGGCACGTATGTTATAAAATCAATGTTTTCAAAAAGCTTTGAAAATGATCGGACGGGAATCAAACAAACTTAAAATTCACCAAAAAAACTTTGAAATGCATTTTCCACCGAAGGAGTTTAAATTTTGAGAAAAATGTGAAACACGTCTATTATGATTTTTCTTATAGATCTTTGGAAATAAATTTGAACACAAAACGTTATCCACCAAATCTTCGACCCCCATTTGCACCAAGGAGGGATGGATTTTTCAAAAAGTGTGAAACACTCCTCAAATGAATTTGAACATAGATCTTTGAAAATGAGTTTGGGGCCGATCGGATGGTAAACAAAAAACTTTCATACAACCGTTTTCCGCCAATTTACTACTGTTGCGGGTGGAATTTCCCTATTCGATGAAATACGTATTCATTAAGTTCTTATGAAGAGCTTTGAAAATAAGCTTAAAGCAAATCGGACACAACTTATAACTTCGCACAAAAAATCTTTGAGTCGCATTCCACCCGAAAAAGTTTGGATTCTGCGAAAAGTGTGAAAGACGTCTCAAATGATTTTTCTTATAGATCTTTGGAAACGAATTTGAGCGCGAAACGTCACCCACCAAAGTGTGGGCTCCATTTCCACCAAGGAGGGATGCATTTTCCAAAAAGTGCGAAACACCCCTCAAATGAATTTGAACAAAGACCTTTGAAAATAAGTTTGAAGCCGATCCGATGGTAAATAAAAAAGTTACATACAAACGTTTTTCGCGATTTTTCCACACTTGCACGTGGAATTTCCCGAAACCCCGCCTTAACGTGCACCTACATTACATAAGGTGAAAATTACATAACAGTGAAAATTGCAGCT